ATAATCAGCATTTGCTGCATATTCATTTATACGAACAGGATCTGCTGATGATAATATCCTTGCAATTATACCACTATGAGCATTCTCAGCAAGGACATAATTTTTTCTATTGCAATCCTTTAAAATATTTATAGCTGTCGATTTACCATTATGCCAGACTGTCTCCTTGCCCTTTAGCCTATCTCAATATACTTTCCTACAGAATGGTAAGTATCTGACGTTTGAAGCTCTTTGGTTAATAAAAGAGGATTTATGGCTAGTAGCTGACTTGGGAATGTATGTTGAAAACAAAGCAGCCGTTTTTTCTGTCTGACTGACTTACAGAGTTTTTGGAGCTATGTGACAGCTTTTTAGACACAACAGTCCAGACACAAAGAGAGAAGTTAATTACTATTTTGCTGCAAAAGACAATTGGGCAACCTTCTGCACTCCTGCTTCAAGACCTTGTTCCAAGAGGATAGGTACGCAACCCATGGGTCATGATTGGAGACAGCCCTTCTGCTGACTCCCTACACAGAAAGAAATTTCACTCTGGCTGAACAGCCTTGGAAGAAATATCTTTACTTGGAAGATTAATGAATGCCTTCTGCTGAGTTACTTGTTCACCCAAACTCCCATCTCCCTGGTGTATAAGCAGGATATATTAGCAGTCTGTAGCAGTCCTAGGAACAGCTGCAGTAGTTAGTGTAGGCTTTCCTCAACCCAACAGGCAAAATGTCGCTCTTACCTGACTTCATTAAAAGCTTCAGATTCACTAGAGGTGCATCAAAAGAAGAAGGGCTTAGGTTTGGTGAGACTGATGAAATGAAAAAGTGTGAGAAAGAGTATTCGTAATCCAGCACATGGCACATTTGTTTTTATGTGAAATCCTGATTCAGGTCTCATCAAAACTGTACATTTTTCTGTACGTGTGTATTTGTTTTACAAAATAGGATTTTTTATGGTGCAAATTATTTTGTCAAAAAAGTTCCAGGCAAGATCATTTTGACATCCTTACCTGTCTTTATTACTTCACCATAGAACAAAGGTGCTATGTAAGCAGTGGTCTATGTGAAGCCTTTGTGGGTTTTGGGTGAGTTCACACCTTGTAGCTGGATTATTCTGCACCTCTGAAGACTGAGCTCTCATCAAAGTGAATGATGGCTCTCCCCTGCATGGATTCTCTAGTGTACAGTAATACAGCGCGACATTCTTCCTCTCTCTCAGTGTGGAACTATTCTGGTCTCCTTCTTTTTCTAGCCATCTACTCATTTCCACTTATTCAATACCTCTGAAGTTTTCTGTTCTGCATCATATGTGAATATCGTTAACTAAAAGATCCAAAATATACTACGCAGGACCTAGAGAGAAAGTGACGACATCATCTCTAAGAAACCTGTCTAAAAACAGAGCAAAACTGAACCAATGCAGCACATGCTAAATGAATGAAAACCTGGCACCATGATAGATCTCAGCTAGTGATTCAGAGATAAGAATTTTCATTCCTTGGGCTTTTTTCCTAGTCATCAAGGAGGTTTTGGTCAAAATAATAAACACCATCTTTTCAATAGAATCAAAAATAAAATTCTTGCCAGTGAGATTTGCAGATGTCACTAAACCCATACAGTGATAATTGATGAGGAGGACAGGTTTAGCTCTGCAGAAGAGCGTGAATCACATGCTAGACTGTGCCCACATTATGGACGAGAATGTATGACACATTTACCAGTGGTGTTTATATTTTAGGAAACAGTGACTTGGAAGCAGATTTGAGCTGAACATGAGCTCAAAATGTGATACAGTATCTGAGAAAACAGTGACAATCTTATGTCTAAAAAGAGGGAACTACTGAGCAGAAGACATGGTGTTAATACATGATGGTTTATTAGCGAAAGTTCATCCCTCTGCACATTAGCAACGTGGCTAAAATGACAGAAAAGGCCCAGAAAATAAAGATAAAGAGTATTACCAACCTGGAAAATCTTCCTAACTCTTAAAGAAGTCCAATCTATTTAACCTTTGGCAGCACAAATGTATTGCAAGACATTAAGATAGTGCAATACTTCACAGAACATCGTCTTTGCTGTGCTGGCTGCCCACAGATGTGTATTTAACATGGATAAAAGTGAACAGTAGAAGCACTGCGGTAGAGTAGCTAATGTACTACTTTCCTGTTGCCTGACAGTAACTTGCACTACAGTCCTGCATCCTCAGTGAATTCAAAAGTAGGTTAAAAGATGACATGGTCAGGAGACAAAAGTACAAACATGGGAAGCTGTCGTATTTTCAGTGTCCATTTAAACTAACACAATCCAGCAGCTGGAAGCTGAAGCTGGAAACACTGATGCCAGAAATGAAAATTTAGTTTTCCAGAGTTGTTAGATCTATCAGTTACGTTCTTGAAGCTAAAGTTACAAATGTTTCTAAAAGATTGCACAGAAGTTTTATCTTCAAAACAGAGAATCACTTCAGAAGATCTTGGCTCTGATTTGTCCAAGCAGTCAAATTACACAAATAACATTTGCTTTCAAAAATCAATATATTTGTAAGATCAAAAAGTTAAGAGGTTGCTTCTCCCTCCTTGACATGTGATCAATACAGTCACCATACTCCAGGAGTATAAATGGTAAGCATGTCTGGACTGAAAATTGGTTTATGGATTATATCCATGCTGACTTTAAATGATCCTTTATAAATTATTATTTCTCTGTAAATGACCCCTTATCATTATGATTTAATGATAAAGAAAGAGAAGACACAGCCAGTTGCAAATTAGATTAGACTTAGGAAAGGCATGCTGAAGGCTGAGCTCTTACTTTTCCATATCAGCATCACAGCATCATATGAATTGACTGCATTAAAATTCAGCTGAAATGTAAGCTTGTAAACATCTTACCATCACTGAAGATATGTCTACAGAAAGGTTGCCCAAGGTATGTTTTTTCAAGATATACACAATGCCTGTTTTCTTGAGTTCTTTTGTGAAATATGTATGAATACATATTTATTCTGGTCAATAGTCTGCATCCCCTCTGCTTAACAGGACATTGTACTCATAATTTCCTGTTGCTTAACATCTTTTGTTCTCGTTGATTCAGACAGTAAAAAGAGAGGAGGTCATCCCTCTACTCACAGCCTAAATCCTGTCCCAAATCCCTGCAGCGCTTGCAGTGCTACAAAAGCCCACAGAAATGACACTTCTTGTTATTTGAATCCATAGAAGAGTTGAGCTTCAGTGGTTGAAAAGAGTTAAAATTTTTAATTTCACTGAGGAGACTTAGGAAAGTATTTCCTATCCTGTTAGCCTCAGCCTTTCTTCTTTGAAGGTTAAAGTTCTATTTTTGGAAACAAGGTATCCTGCATGCAGGATCATTTGGTTTTGGCACACACACACTTATACACATATACATGGATGCATATTACAGGACTTGCAGAAAATTTGAGCCAAATCTGATAGGAATCATTGTACTGTCAAAATCCTAGTGCAGAAGCCTTAGACAGCAGCACTCTCAGCTTTCCCAGAGCAGGAGCTGATATACAATGTTAGATGCAAGGATTCATTTTGTTGAGCGATCAGAAACCCAAAGCAGGCTCTATATGATACCTAAATCCCTCAGTGCAACCAGCAGAGCCACAGTGCTTCTGTCCTCTAAAGCAGATACTTTCTATTAATTCAAAATAGCTGTTCATTGATCTTTCTTTCCAGGCCAGTCACTTAAGGAGTGGGTTTGTGGTTGGAAGAAAGGCAAGCTCACAGTTCAGTAAGACAGAAGATAAACTGCTGGCCCCTTTGTAGTCAATAGGACCTTTATCACTGGTTTCAGTTCTGGATTTCGGCAAATACTTTTATATATGCAAAGTTACATTTCTGTAACTATTTCTGTACATTTATTTACTAAATCTGCACATGCAAAGGAAAATTAGAAACACTTCTGATCTCTGTTTTCACATGGAGATGAAAGGTTTTCCCAGAAAACAACTAACATAAAAAATTGCAGTCGTATGTGTGTTGTTCTCTAATATTTTTTATAAAGTAAATTCAAAGCTGCAAGCTATTGACCTCTAATAATGACACACTTTCATGGTCTACTTTAGACCATGCCAAGACAAAATTCTACATGGAACTCATCAGAAATTATGATACTCAAAACTAGAATCTGAATTTTGTTCTTTGGTCTGATTTTTATGAAAAATCAGCAGAACACATGGCAATCCTACAGCTGATTACATTTCTCCATCTTGCTGGAAAGGCGGGGAAAATGGAATGGAATGACTTCTGATGAAGAGGACAATGTGAACACAATATTCCTAGACTAGTCCCTTTTCTCTGTGTCACTTCAAATAGGTAGTGAAAGCTGACTAATCACATTAACATTTAAGAACATCATTTTATAATAATGGCTGGGAGAGATCTTTGTTCATACCATTCTGTAAAGAAGTGACCTGAACAGAAAATACACTTTGCATGAATCGTTGATCAGTCTTAGAAACATACAGTAACCAGAGTGTGTAGAAATTACAATGCAGTTTGTGGAAATCTCATAATACAGGCTGTAATTCATGAAATGTTTAAAACAAAAAAAAATGATCTGTTAGGAATAGCGGATACAGAATAAATATGGTCAGTTCCTTCTGCACCAAAAGAGCTACGAGAGCCACCAGATGTTTTTAGACTCATGCTTTCTGTCAACCTGTTTGGCTAGTCTATGATATTACTGAAGCAATTATATAATAGGATTTAATGTATTTTTAGCAAACGGACACTATCTGGCTAAAAACTGGAAATATTTATGGAAAAAACCACAAGCTACTTATCTGACACAGTAATATACCCTTATCTCTCAATGGTGTTATGTCTGAAGAGTGAGAGGTGATCAGGTGAAAGTTTTAGTGAAATGGACTCTTGGTTACAAAGTATTTTACTGAAAATGGCCTTGCTGCTTCAAGTATGGTCAGAAATACTCTGTTACAAGTGGAGTATGAATATATGTAAAAAAAATAAGGACACTATCTACATTTACCTACTCTGATCCCAGTTGGCTGCAAAAAGCAGAAGAATCTTCCTGCCACAGTGGTCGCGATTTTCCAGCACTCCCGGGAACCCATCTGTCAGAGCCCGTTTGATTCCTGGATCATCAGCCTTGAAGTTTTTGAACATATCCAGATTTAACTGGCGGTACTGGAAGTACTGAGCCAGCAGTCTGAAGGCCTCAGTTTGGTGAAACTTTCTGGCTCGGAGAAATCTCAAGATGAAGGCATCGTCTGTACGTAAAAACCCAATGTCAGGTCTCGTGATGATCATGTCCCTGACTTGCTGGATATCCTGATGCAAAATGTCTGGGTTTTCATTCAGTTCCAGGCGGGCTTTCTCTATAGTCTCTGGACTAAGCCCAGCTTGTAAATGGGTCATCTTTGAAAAAAACTCTTTTCCAGATCCTTAACTTCAGATACTTTAGCAGGAGAAGTGCTGATCCCATTCAATTGATGGTCTGCTGTGAGTGTGAGCCATTCAGAAGCTTTTTGCGATCAAACTGATATTTAACAAATGAAAGCAAAGGGCTTTTCTTATTCTTGAAGAAAAATAGGATGTTTACATGTAGAATAATCCATCCAAAGGAAAATGCTGTTTACTCCATCAGTTACTAAAAGAAAAAGCAAATACATAAAAGATTAAATATGCGTATAAAGCTTACACAAATGCATTTATGAACTTTATATAGGAATAAAATTGTTCTGTGTGCTTCATATGTAAGAGGATAGCAGCCAAATAATTTCAGAATGGTTGCGTTTAAGATAAGGCAGTCATCGACATCTTGAATGCAGAGGGTAGATTTAGATTAGATATAAGGAAGAATTTCTCCACTACGAGGGGGGTGAGGCACTGGAACAGGTTGCCCAGAGAAGTTGTGGCTGCCCCCTCCCTAGCAGTGCTCAAGGCCAGGTTGGATGGGGCTCTGAGCAACCTGGTCTGGTGGAAGATGTCTCTGCCCATGGCAGGGGGTTTGGAACCAGATGATCTTTAAGGTCACTTCCAACCCAAACCACTCTACAATGATTCTCTGATGATTCTCTGATGATGAATGTATATATTCAAGCTTTGGAAAGGCAATCTGATTAATTGTCAATTAATACTAAGCTGTATCAACTTACTATTAGAATATAGAGTGCAAAGTTGTCTTATAGAAGTGTGGGAGTTCCAGCATCCCATAACTTCAAGCCCAGAATGACAAAAGCCAAAATAACAGTCATTTTTTTCAATCTCTAACAGGAGCTACATTTCAGCTTCCTAAGTATGCAGGTTTACACTTATCATGATAAGTATAACAACTGTTTCATTTTATTTTATCATGCACAATATCAGCTTCTAGCTTTACTTGAATGAAGCCCTGAGCTGACTGTAAAACTGATTCCCCCCCCCCCCAAAACTCCACCAGCATCAGGGATATTTTTAACTTGGTAAAATCTCACTGAAAATACTTCCCATGGTGACTTAATACATCTTCATGGGGAACTTCCCATGAATAAAGTATTTGATGAATCTAATCCAACAGGATTGGTGTGCTGGTTGAAAAAAGACGTATTTTATTTCAAATTCTTTTTTTCAGTATCTTGTAGCTTTCCCAAATACCTAGTTCTAAATTTCATTTTCATTCCTGTACTTTATCTGGAATTTGTTTTCACAAGTGTTAGGAAAAAAGCTGCTTAAGCTGTTATGTATGAGCAAAACGGTACAGTGAATCTCTTACATTTCAGTGACATAATTAGCAAGAGGCTGTCATCGGAGTCTGTGTAGTTACACTTGTGTGAAATAAGATCAAGGTCTATTCTAGTATGAAATGTGTGTGAGGAAAGATCAAGACCCATCGAATTGTTCAGCCATCACAAAAACAGACAAGCAAAGAAAAATCCCCACTACTTAGCAGATATCTCTGTCTGTCTAATTTCTGAAAAATTCTGTTTAAATTCTGAAAAAGCAAATTTGATTTTAAAAATTAAAAGGGAATCCCTCAGTGAAAGACATACTTTCATGTACTTGAAGAAAGCTGTTTGGAAAGATATGAATTATTTATATATATATATTAGTTATATTATTATTCACTCAGCTGCTCCCCTGGGTTCAGCATTCTCATATCAAACAAAGCGGACAGCAGCAGCCAGGGCATTTCTTCATCCAGGGGCTGCACAATGTTACGCCGCAGGACCTAGAAGTCAATCAGCACAAGGAGTGCCCAAGTTCCCTGTTCTGTGAGCTTATATGTCATTGATAGAAACCACATTTTAGACACCACAGCTGCAGCCCCAGGAGGAGATTCCTACATTTGAATATAGAGAGTTTCTGCATATTTGCTCAAAGAAGGACATTCTGGTGGGAGATAAGCTTTTCATTCAACAGTAATGTTCATTAGACTTGTCTGTGGGTGATACAAAGGAGAGTTTGTTAAGCAGCCTCTTTCTGCATTTGCTGTGGAGCCAGAGTTAAGAAGAGCTACCTGCAGGGCAGAGTATCTGGTGATTCATCAGCCTGGGAAAACATGGGAAAGGACAGAGCTGGGAAGAAAGAAGGCTGGCTGCCTTTGTCAAGTCACCATGGAGTGCAAATAACTCCAGAAAAACAAGACCTGAAGTTTTGAGTGGTAGTCTACGGGTTCAGGTTATTCAATTCTTAACAAAATATGAGTTGTATTAAAGGTGGATTGCACACTTAAAAATGAAATAACAGTGATTTGTTTTGCTCTCGCCTTTATTAGACCAAACTAGGATAAATCCCATGGTATCAACTGAACTTCACTGATGTAAAAATTGATGTAGGCCATGGGAAAATCAGGCCAATATTTTGTGCTTAAGATTGCATATTAATGCATTAATGATTTAGTTACAATTGCCTCCATGAGCTAGTTATGGGACCTTGTTGTGTTTAACTGTGACACTGTCACTTGGGGAGTGTAGCGTCAGGAATCGTTCTTTCACTAGTTTTAACAGCAGGTCATACCCTAAGGAGGATGGTTGTGCTCCAGGGTGGTCAGCAGAGGGGTGGAAGCAAGGAGTTTATTTGGGATCTGTACCAGCTCTGGCTCAGCGCTCAGTATGAATTCAAACACCTTTGGAGCTTTTGTGACTTGCAATTACAGAATTATAGAACGGTTTGGTTTGGAAGGGACCTTTAAGGATCATCTACTCCAAACCCCCTGCCGTGGACAGGAACATCTTTCACTGAATCAAGTTGCTCAAAGCCCCATCCAACCTGACTTTGAACACTCCAAATCATGGTACATCCACAACTTTTCCAGGCAACATATTCCAGTGCCTCACTACGCTCATCTTAAGAATTTCTTCTCTACATCCAATCTAAACCTACCCTCTGTCAATTTAAAACCATTAGCCCTTGACCTATTACTTCAGGCCCTAGTAAAAAGTTTCTCTCCATCTTTCTTATAAGCCCCTTTTAAGTACTGAAAGGCTGCAATAAGGTGTCCCTGGAACCTTCTCTTCTCCCGACTGAACAGCCCCAACTCTCTCAGCCTGTCCTCATAGGAGAGGTGTTCAATCCCTCAGATAATTTTTGTGGCCCTCCTCTGGTCCTGCTCCAACAGGTCCAAGGACTTGTGGCAGTTAACTGTGACCCCAGTGGGTTCATCCATTTTCTGAGGGTTTATGGGAGTAGAACTGTTTCTTACTTTGCTCCTTTTCTGACTCCCATCTCCACTAAGATGCTTTTTTGGAAATAAGGCAAATTCTTTAAAGGCTAACTGCTGTCTACTCCAGAAGAAAGTGTGGTCAGATCAAGGAGGGAAAGTTTGGCCCTTCAGATTTCATAGGGTCCCCAGGCATTTAGTGTCAAAAATTATGTTATTTGTTATCATTAAAGTTCCATTTTCTTCCCTTATTTAAATGTATTAACACCCTTGATGCCCAGCATGATCCCAAGGTGAGCGAGATATGATCCTCTCCTGTCAGACATTGTTGCCAAAAAGCAAATTACAAATATTCACTCTAATAAAAGATATTTTTTTAAACACATTTCAGAATTTTCTGAGTGAACTGACTTATACCCATGGGTTACAGCTTACAGGAGAGCCTCTATTGATTATCCTGAATATCAGTCAGAATAGATTTTGCACTAAAATGCTTTTTTGGTGTAATGTTCTATATTGCAAAATAATCCAAATTATGTATGAACAATGTTGTCACTACCTGAATCATAACCCAAACCATGGGGTTAGTAATCCAGTCCAGCACCATTGACTCCAAGGAGTCTGGTTTATATCAGTGGATGATTTTGTTCTCCCACTGCTTACCTTGACAATAAATTTAATGCTCCATAGTTACCTAGTTTAATTGTCATTGTACTTGCTCAAACTATACTGATTTATTCTGATTCCCAAAAGTATAACAGAAGTACCTTCTCCATTTTCACCCCCTCCCACACATGGCAATTTCTCCTTCTCTTCTGGTGTCGTGTACAGGTCGGATCCATCTACTAATTTTTCAGATGTTTACATCTTTGTTCTGCTTTTTTTTTTCTCCCAAATGAAGATGCTGGCCTTTTTTTCCCCTAGCTTGAATATGGTTGCTGTGTGTTGGCACACTAGACTCTGTTATATTCTCAAGAGCTTTTTTTCTGTATTGTGACTCTTTGTTCCCAAAGGACTATTTGCTCTCCTAATGTCTTTTCACAGCCACTTACAATAAATCTTCCCTCCAAAGGAATAAAACCCAGCTTTAAACACCAAAAAATAATTAACAGAAGTTTTAAACACAACCTATTAACACAGTAAAAAAAGGAACTTTCTACCAAAATTGTGGTATCACATACCACTTCATCTTCTTCCTTCACATTCCCAACAAAAGAATGACGAGACAAAGAGTTGATTTTGGAAGAATAAAACACTGAAAGTGGGGTATATTCTTCAGACAAAGAGCTTTTATCTATCAAAACTAAAATTTAGTTATAAAATGTATAATAATATTTAATAATTAGCTAAAATGAGAATAATATCTTAAGGGAGTACATATAGCACTTTCCATCCAAAGATCCTAATACGCTTTACTTCTCTTTCTTCAATGACAGCTTCTGGATCAGCATTCAGCCCTGTTTGCTCTATAAACCCTATTGGCCAACACCTGCTTTAAATTATGATGATGATGATGCTTGTCTGGATCGTTTTTTTCCTGCCCACTTAGCTGTCCCTGAAACACCATTTGCCTCTTGAAGCACAGTCCCCATGTCCATTTGGCCCTTCCCCATCCACTTCAGTTCCAGAAAGATTCTAGTTGCCTCTGTCTACCAAGTGTTTTCCGTTCAATCCAAAGCTGTATGCCATGTGAAATTTCATTACCACAGCTTTCAAATGGGAAAGGCACTAGGGTTTGATCCTCACCTGGTATTAACAGACATCACTGTTACGATAT